AGATATTGAACAAAACCGGCCCCAGGACCGACCCTTGGGGCACTCCACTTGATACCGGCTGCCAACTAGACATGGAGCCATTGATAACTACCCGTTGAGCCCGACAATCTAGCCAGCTTTCTACCCACCTAATAGTGCATTCTTCCAGCCCATACTTCCTTAACTTGCTGACAAGAATACTGTGGGAGACCGTGTCAAAAGCTTTGCTAAAGTCAAGAAACAATACATCCACTGCTTTCCCTTCATCCACAGAACCAGTAATCTCATCATAAAAGGCGATCAGATTAGTCAGGCATGACCTTCCCTTGGTGAATCCATGCTGGCTGTTCCTGATCACTTTCCTCTCATGCAAGTGCTTCAGGATTGATTCTTTGAGGACCTGCTCCATAATTTTTCCAGGGACTGAGGTGAGGCTGACTGGCCTGTAGTTCCCAGGATCCTCCTTCTTCCCTTTTTTAAAGATTGGCACTACATTAGCCTTTTTCCAGTCATCCGGGACTTCCCCCGTTCGCCACGAGTTTTCAAAGATAATGGCCAATGGCTCTGCAATCACAGCCGCCAATTCCTTCAGCACTCTCGGATGCAACTCGTCCGGCCCCATGGACTTGTGCACATCCAGCTTTTCTAAATAGTCCCTAACCACCTCTATCTCCACAGAGGGCTGGCCATCTCTTCCCCATTTTGCGATGCCCAGCGCAGCAGTCTGGGAGCTGACCTTGTTAGTGAAAACAGAGGCAAAAAAAGCATTGAGTACATTAGCTTTTTCCACATCCTCTGTCACTAGGTTGCCTCCCTCATTCAGTAAGGGGCCCACACTTTCCTTGGCTTTCTTCTTGTTGCCAACATACCTGAAGAAACCCTTCTTGTTACTCTTGACATCTCTGGCTAGCTGCAGCTCTAGGTGCGATTTGGCCCTCCTGATATCATTCCTACATGCCCGAGCAATATTTTTATACTCTTCCCTGGTCATATGTCCAACCTTCCACTTCTTGTAAGCTTCTTTTTTATGTTTAAGATCCGCTAGGATTTCACCATTAAGCCAAGCTGGTCGCCTGCCATATTTACTATTCTTTCAACTCATCGGGATGGTTTGTCCCTGTAACCTCAACAGGGATTCCTTGAAATACAGCCAGCTCTCCTGGACTCATTATTAAAATGCTGTAATGTTTACAGTGCATGGAGGGGCTGGTTGGGATGGGGTTTAGTTCCTTTCCAGGGGTACTTCACCACTCATCTATTTGTTCTTTAAAGGCTGGACACCATTTGGAGAACATAGAACTTTTCAAGCTACCAAAATGAAAAAAAGGTGTACTTCCAGTGCTGTGGAGGGGCCCTAGCCACCTATGTCAGACAGATGTTTTTACTAATGACCACCTATCTATGTATTGCTGAGTGGAGGGGTTTGGTGAGCTATAAAGGTGGACCAAACATTTGCACTGTCCTTAAACCTGAAGAACCAGTCTGAATTTCAACTGCATGAAAAATTTGTTGAATTATGCTTATAAGACTGGGAGGTGATCTGAGAGGCAATTGACCGTATTCCAAGCTAGTAGACAGTTCCCAGGCACAAGAGGAACCGAGAATCACTAAGAACGTTCATCCACCCCCTAGCCAACCCTGAAGCACTAGAAAGTCCAGCCCCTGTGTCCAGCGAACAGCACTGAAAGGGGCAGAGCGTCACACTGCAAGTGTATTTTCTTCCCTGAACTTTCTGATTAACATTGCAAGCCTGTCACCTGTGCTAAAGGACACATCATTGTGTTTGTGCAACTGCCCAAGAGGATCCTACATCCACTTCTGCTTCACCTGGCTCCTGCCGAGTGATTTAGCACAGGAGAGGTCAGATACCAGGGACTGGGAATGGTCATAAACAGCTGAAATGGTCATAAGGAGAATAGACCGTTCTGATACTCTTCGGACAACCAAAGCGTTCCTTCCCTTTCTGTTTCCAAATCTGACAAGGCCTGCACCAAGTCACCAACTACTCCCATTTCCCTTCTGCAGGCTCCCATTTGGAAAGGAAAAAGGAAAAGAAAGGAGGGGGGAGTGGGGCAGAGGGGTGATTTGGGGTTTTTGATCAGCCATGTCATACAACTGTTCTTCCTCCCACCTACACACACTCTCTCGTTTTCCCCCCCAGTTCACACAGCCCAGGGACTATCACTGTTCACAGTGTTGACAGTCAAATGAAGAGACATAGGGACTGCTCGTTAATATTCTTTTGTTATGGCTTCTGCTAAGTGCATTACAGTGGTTCATGGGATTTCACTGAAATCACTGATTTCCAGCTATGTCCTGCTTGGGGACCATGTTAAGGTAGAGCAGGGAGGTGGGGCAGCTTCAGGCATGTATCACCAGAGCAAGAGGGGATAGATTGTAACTTACCAGCTTCGGGTTCTGGTTCCTGCAGTGGGTCTCAATCCTCCTCAGGCTCTTCAGGGGAAGGCTTCCTCACTCAGGTCTGCTGGGCAGAGGTACAGAATCTCACGCTCCTCATCCTCCAGGTCACCCAGGGCTTCCTTGGCAGTCCCTGCTGTCTTCTTGCCCTGCCCCTCAGTCCCATCATATGAAGAGGCCGGCGAGTTTGAGAAGGTAGTCATGAATCACTTCAAGGTCTGTACTTGAATCTCTGGGGAGCACCCAATTCAGCTCATCGTAGCATAGGCACATGCTAGGTCCCCTCCTGGAATGATTGTTTCAGTCCATCACCCTCTGGGTACAGGAGCCTCAAGCGCTTCCAGAAATCCCAGCACTGGGACGGAGTTTGTTGAATGCCCGACTCCTCCAGCCTCTGTGAAATCTTCCAGTAGAGGTATATGTTCCTGCCACTTCAGTTGAAGTTGAGGAGGACAGTGTACTCTGACCACACCTTGATGAGGGCACTGGTATGCTCCAGAGACCAGGTGGCAGCTCTTGGAACATGATCCATAATGGCCTTTGCTGATTAACAGAGCAGTTCAGCAGAAAACTGTCCTGAAGTGCTCAGCGCAGGATGCTACTAACGGTGGCAATGGGGGATAAGGGTCTGGCAGGAAAGGGAATGGCCCTGGAGGACTATTGAGACTCGTGACCTGGTAATATGCCCCTTGCTCCTGTCCATACTGCACTGTAGAACATGTATGGGCCATGCCACAGCAGAGGCATGTACATACCCACATCCCTCATGCATGCTAGCTTTCTTGCTGTCCACTCTCCTTCAGGAACCTGCTTCAGCACTTCAAATGTAGACAATGGGGAAGGGGTTATGGCACAACAATGCACAGTTGCAAGGGTAGATGTAGCACAGATATCCTATGGACTCTGATATCAATATTAGACAACCACTCTTCGTTCAACATATGTAGAGCAAAGATTTTCCATTCAAGTTAGAATGCCTGATAAAACTGAGGGCCTGGGTGAAAATAGCGGGTTCAAGCTCAAAACAAAAACAAGACTGAGGTACTGATCAGAAAAAGGAAGAACCTCAAGGAACTGGCTAGAACTCACCACTTTCTCTTCCTGCCCTCACACACCAAGGGTTTCCCCCACCAATCATGATGATGCAGAACCTTGGAATCCTGCTAATCCTTGATGTTTTCATTGCAGCAATGGCCAGAAGTGCCTTTGGCTAGTCAAGAGACTCTGGATCTTCCTGCCAGACATAGAGCTAACTATGGTCACCTATAAGCAAACCACTACTGAATGAGACACTTTAGGGTCTTCCCCAGGTAGAATTAACTGAAGACCACCCAATAATTTCAGAGGGTTAGGCATGTAGCAGCCAAACTCCTGATTAAAACAGATCATACCAGTGCTCTGACCCCTACCAGCTATAACTACGTCTGATTCATTTCAAGGCCCTGATCCATCTCTTTAAAGGCCTAAATGGATTAGGAAGCAACATCTCAGTGACTGGCTAGAGCTTTGTGTACCAACATGTTGGAGCATCCCTATTGAGCGTACCTGAATGGTGAACCCCTGATTTGTCCGCACATGAATTAGAGGTAGAGTTTTCCTAATGGAGTGCATTCTTGTTATGAACTGGAGTTTAGGTGAGCCAGAAGGACAGATGGAGCTGTGCTGATTTACAACAGCTGAGAATCTGGCTCCAAATCTTAACATCATCAAGGCACAGTTTAAATGATACGCATATTTTCAAAGGAATTCCCTAAACACCCAAGAAGAGGAGCAGACTAAATCCTTTTACACTGTGCCTTGTGTACTTATTAAAACCATGAGGTACCATTTGTCATGTTAATGGACATTCTAAAATGTGAATAAAAGGTGATTTTATAAAAGCCCTTCAGTATATCCAAAAGCAGAATTCAGTCTTTAGTTAGAAAAGATTAATATTAGACAGGTCAATGATTCTCACTTTTCAATAATCTAGCCATTCTTTTTCCACTCACAAGTCCTAGAGTTTCTTTATCAATTAGTCTTTCAAATAAGAGTCAATTGCAAGGCTTTGTAAACTTGTTAAAAATTTAAAATAAAATTAAATCAATAAATAAAGTCTGTCCAGATATTCTATGGTAGTGTTCTGCACTACCATGAGCCAGCATGGCATCATCTCAGATCTAACTCTGACATGGGATTTATTGACTCCAAAGGATTTAAAAAAAAAAAAAAAAATATGCTTGAGCAAGTGATTCATAGCCAATGGATATGGAAACACTGGAGAAGAACTATAAAACATCTATGTATCATATTCACAGGAATATGCACTTATTTTCAGAAAAAAACACCATGTTTAAATTGTGTCCCTCCTTTAAACTTCACAGATAAATCTTGTGCTAATAAAAGAAAGTTATTTTAGCCAATGACATTTACCTAATATTTACTATTGAAAGAATCCTACAGTTAGTAAATCAATCAACAACCACCACCAAGCAGATAAAAACAATCGATCAGTTAATGCTGTGCCTGAAGTGCATTTTAGTTAAAACAATAGAAAAATCACTTGATAAAAGCAATATTGCCTTGATCATAAATGGAAATTAACTAGCAGAGCAAATTCTTACTTTAGAATTCCATTTGCTCCTGTGTAAACTTCTACGGCATTGAGGCTGGAGGGTAGCATAGTAATAATCCTGTCTGCTTTTTCTGCTACTTCTGCTGGGGAATCCATTACCTTAAAAAAAAATAATAAAAATAATGTAACTGCTGTTGAAAGACAAAGAAAATATATCTTCTTTAACGACTTTTAAAGCACCACACTTAACAGCTAGACAAAAATGAAAACACAGGAAACAGACCACACCATTTGACAAGCTCTAGTGATAGAGGGAGAAAAATTTGATGAGGATCCTGTCAGAGATTCCTCCAAATTCTCCATCCAGGGGTGTGATTATAATACTATCCATGGATCCTCCAAGACTGAGGGCTAACTAACAATCTACTGCAAGCACAAGGTCATCTATGCAAAATGCACCTCCACACACTGTCTCTGGGGTAGTCCCATAATACTAGAGAATTAGTCCCACATGGATGACTGCCCCGACTTCCCTTCTATAGATACTGGGAGGGACAGGAAAAGACCCCCCTTCCACAGATGTATTTAATTTTAGAGCAACACACTCTGGTTAGCTTTAACTAAAGCTACCAACACTGCCAGCAGGAACACGTTGGCAGCATCATATGTGTTCTGGCCGACCGCCAGGGAGGCTTCCAAAGGCCAAGGCCCTTTGAGCAAAAAGAGCAGTTAGTCCTGGAAAAGTTCTGACAGCAAAGCCATCCCAGCCAATCTTAAATTACTGCAATAGCAAAACTGATACACAAAGTGAAAAAAAAAAAAAAGAGTGAAATCTTCAGACTTTTTGTTTCCACCTTGCCATAATCATACTGTCGCCTACAAATTAAGTCAGTTTATGAACAGGTAAATGCAGCCAACCCTAAAAACATAGCCAACAACAATATTATAAATTAGTAACAGAGACCCATTAGAATGACTAGACCAGCCAGGGCAAGACTGTCGCAGGCAATATAATTCCTGAAGTGCCACAGAATTTAAGGCCAAAAGGGACCATCAGATCATGTAGTCTGACTTCCTCTATATCACAGGCCACTAAATTTCACCCCAATAGCTCTATATTGACCCCAGTGACTTTAGTCCTCAAGAGATGAAGGCCTGGTCTATATTAGGAAATTAGGTCATACAACTATGCCACTGAGACCTAACCCATGGTGTCAACCAAGCTACTCCCTCTTGGGGAGGTGGATTACCTACACTAACAGAAGAACCCCCCTCACTGGCACATGCAGTGTTTTCATGGAAGAGCTACAGCAGTGCTTCTGCAGCATTTTAAGTGTAAACTAGCCGTAAGCTGTTGTGTGCCAGAGGCAGAGGATAGGCCCCTGAAATGACAGGGAATTGACTAGTGAGATATGCTGAGATGACTAAGCGAACCATAACCCATGCTGCAGAGAAAAGTAAAAGTTTCCCCAAGGACAAGCAACACACTAAATATCTTCTGCCTATTAAGGACAGCAAGCAAAGTAAAATAACTTGACCAGATGCGAGATTAGAAAAACAAATTTTTACTTTATAGAAAAATTAGAGTGCAAGAATAAGTTTTATCATTAAAATCAATTTTACGGCACTGATATGCCTGATTGATGATATTGTTATGACCAATTACAATGCAAAATAAGTTAACACAAGCAGAGCTGCATTCATATAGTCTAACCTCAAAATACAATTTGTTACATGAAAAAAAAAAAAAGTTTTACTGATGGAACTTAAGAGTTGGGTTTTAACAAAAGCAACATGAGAAAAATATCTGCCATACCACACTTAAAACACAAGTCCAGACAACAATAAAAGACAAAACCACATAAAAGACGAAGAAAAAGACAAACTTCATTGCTACAATTTGAGTGATTGTATTTGAAACATTGCAGAAAATGTGTAAAAAAAAATCACAATTCAATATTGAATTCAAATAACTGCTAATAAAATTTTAAATGTATATAGAGAAAAGACATTTTAAAATAAGTCCTAAGAGACTTGTGCTTATTTTCAATACATTAACTCCCTTTTTCATAGGAGGAGGCTTCTTACATCACAAAGAAAGACTGGATGGAAATTCATCTTTGGAGAAGCGTTGCAAAATTAAAATCAGCCAAAGCCACCAAACCTAAAAATGAATAAGTTTTGGTGTCCAAGTGCAATAGTTTATTTGCTGACCACAACAATCTTGCATTACTTGACAAAGTTAGAGCAACAATGAACAGAAAGGAGTTGTTGAAAAGAAAAAAAGGTATTCATTCCTTCTCTGAGCCCCATCTTCAAAAATCAATCAAACCGAAGTGTTTCTGACAACTGTTTTTGTTTTTAAGTAAAAAGTTAACAGCTCCAATGTCCCTCACCAGAAACTTCCATACAGGTTTCAACATGTCCACCCTGCTAATTATCGAGCTGTTACAAAAAAATATTCTGAGACATGGCATCTTCAGGAGACAAATCACACACACACTGCGGGTGAAATCCTGGCCCCATCGAAGTCAATGGCAGAACTCCCATTGATTTCAGTCGGGGTAGAATTTCATCCATAACGTTTTTCCACACTTTCCAATAATATTTCTGTGTGCCTTCAAACTTCTTTAAAAGCTGAAGTTGTTATTTTGAAAGAGATACAACGGTAAAGATAAAATACTTTGTCTCTTTTCCTTCACATCCAATCATCTTCGTTTTTGAGTTAGTGAACGTATTAACATAAAGATTGTAAAACACAATTTTTAATCTGTTAGCCAGTCTGAGACCATTAGGGTTCCAATCCTGCTTACCATACTCACATAGGTAGTTCTTTTGATCGTAGTAGGATCACTTGCAGGAAGAAGGTGAAGGGAGATCTTTTATAATATTTTCATCTATTCAAGAGCCTAAATATCACATATTCATGCTAAAGAATATCCTTGATAGTATGATTGTCTACTTCTGACTAAACTCTGAATCACAAAGCATAAATAAAAGATTCTGCTTTTTAGATTTTTTAAAAAAAAAGATTTAATTAAGGCTTTCCGCTTAACAAGGCACTGTTAATGTTAGGGGAAAAAAATAGTTTGGTTAAAAATGAAATATGAGTCTATGTTTATTTGACCCTAAACCGGTCCAACCATCCCTACTCAAATGGATATCTATGAGTTTAAACAATAAGTAAACACATAAAAGGACATATAAATATTAATCTCTCATATACACAATGTATTTATGAAACTCTAAACCTCAATAGGGCCCATTACCTCTTATTTAGGATGGTTGGCTTTTTCCTTACTTTTAAACAGTGACCATGAGAGAGAAGTTGAAAAAGGAAAAATGGGACAGTTTGGGTAGCTGGGTTTACCCAAAAGAATGATTAACTTTTTTTCTTTTTGTTTTAAATACACAATACAATATCTGCTGATCGGTAAGACACAGTTGCAGACAGCGAAAGGAGGCAGACAGATTCCAAAACACACAATTGATACTAGGTAGAATGAATGAAGCAATATCAGCAGAAGGGCTTACTGCTGGTTAGTATGTATGTATGTGTTCCCTCCGTGCCCAAGCCACAGATGGTGGGAGTCTGTCCTTTTTTAGTTCAAGCTGTAGAAACTCATGCTTTTAGTTCTGGGGGTCTCCAATTCAATCCCCAGTGCTGGTCAAGATGACAGCCATCACATAAGTGGGGGCTACACCAGAATTTTAATCTGGACTTGCATGCAGCTTCTTATTTGAAATAACTATTTCCAGCTTTCTGACAGGTAGGGTTGCCAACTGTTTAATCACACAAATCCAAATACCCTTGCCCTGCCCCTTGCTCCACACCTTCCCAGGGACCCGTCCCCCCTCCTTCCATCGCTTGCTCTCCCCCACCTTCACCAGGTTGGGTGCAGGGCACAAGCCCTTGGAGGGAGTTTGAGTGCTAGAGGGGACTCAGGGCTGGGGTACAGGAGGGGTGAGGGCTCCGTTCGGGAGGCACTTACTTCAGGTGGCTGTGCAGCAGGGCTAAGGAAGGTTCCCTGCCTGCCCTGGCTCCACGTCACTCCCAGAAGAGGCCGGCAAGTCTCTACAGCCCCTGGGGGGACAGGGGGCTCCATACACTGCCCCCGCCCTGAGCACCGACTCCACAGCTCCCATTGGCCGGAGCCCACTGTACCACCCACTGGGAGCCACCCAAGGTAAGTGGGGCCAGGGGGCTTCACGCGCCACTTCCAGAAGCAGCCAGCATGTCTGGGGGGGCCAGGGGCTCCGCACGCTGCCTGCACCCGCAGGAGCTGCCCCCGCGGCTCCCATTGGCAGCACATCCTGGCCAATGGGTGCTGCAGAGTCAGGGCTGGAGGCGGGAGCAGCGCATGAAGACCCCCTACCTGCCCCCCAACAGCCACAGGGAGAGCCAAGGACCAGGGCAGACAGGGAACCTGCCTTAGCCCCGCTGCGCTGCTGGACTTTTAGTGGCCTAAAATCTCCTGGTTTGGCTTCAGTATCCTCAAAGAGATAGGGCCTGATTCCAGGAGACTCCTGGAGAAAGTGGGAGGGTTGGGAACCCTACTGATAGGGGTGAAAATGTCAGTTATTTATACTGATAGTACAGCTGAAGATTCAGCAACCTGTTTCCGTCCTTTTACAGACATTATAAAGTCACATTATCTACACTGTACTGGGTACATAAGTTAAAATCACTTCAGTTTAATAGTTTTGTTATACCAATAAAATAAAAACCAGCAGGATCTTATTAAAGGGAAAAAGGCAAAATACCACATTTATTGTGAATACAGAAAGAAACATAGTAAGCAGTTAGTTATAGCTATAACATTCCATTCAATCATACAAACACACACACACACAGGTTCTGCAAGGTTGTTATCATAGTTACCAGCCTTCGAGTTGCTCATGCCAAGCCACTGGCCAGGTGGCCTGGACATGAGGAGGGAGCAGGGCCTTGTCAGATGCTCATCTGATGCTCCTGGAAGTTGGTTTGCAGAATCAGACCCCAAAGTTCTCACTTTTTAGAGTCTATTTTTATAGGAATTTCTTCCTATGCCAGTCTATGGGAATTGCTTCATCATGCTGTTGCTGAATCAATCAGCAGATAACATCTTGGAGCCGTCAGGAATGTGCTATCTTGTTCTTTGGTTCTCCCATTCTTTAGGCTGTTGGGTGGATTCCAGTCTGCCCTCCGAGGGTCCTCTGGTTATTTCCACTTGGCGCCTTCTTCAGCCGATGGACACTGGATTCTTAGGCTGGCACCTCCCTGATCATTCAGTTATATCCACACCAAGCATCCATCCACATACATCCTCTATCTATATTTTAATCACAATTGTTAATACAACGAAAGGGCGGGGAGTCTCTGGGTGCTGTTTCTGTTGTTAGAGTATTGCTTTGAGTCTCTCTCTCTGTGAATTGCTTTGAGAACAGAGTCTTAGAATGTACTAACACAATTAGCAGCTTGCAAGTTTCACACACAGAGGGAGAGATACAGCACCAAAAACCAAGAGACCTCTTAATTAGTAATACCCTGGAATTTAAACTATGGGGAATCAAACTCATTTGTGATTTTAATACAGAACTTCTTTAATATGATCCAACAGTTTGCCTGTTATGTTATGGTTGCAGGGCAAAGCTGCGTTAAGACAGTCTTATACATTAAAAGGAACACACACAAAAATCCCGAACTAAAACCTTTGCCCCATTCACACCACCCAGAAAAACCTGAATAAGTTTCAGAACTGGTCCAGTAATATATATTTCCTGTGCAGACAGAGCCTCTATCAGGATAGACAGAAGTATAGAAGACATTGAACAATATTTCTTTCTATAAATGTTTATTCATTCTGTCCATGGAAAAGCCTCCTTTTTTCAAAAATAGTGGGAAACACAAGTTCCGCCAATCTATTGTTATTTATTGTAACGCTTAAGAGCCATACTCATGGACCACGACCCCACTGTGCTAGTTGCTATACAAATACAGAACACAAAGATGGTCCCTGCCCCAAAGGATTTGCAGTCTAAGACACGAGTTCATTAAATACCTCTGAGGGAGAAAGCTCTAAAATGCATATGATGTGACAGGAGAAACTGTACCAGGCCTCAGAAAAGCTGGAAGTCTGCTGACTGTGTTTATAGTATATATGTGAAACAGCTATTCGATTACTCTTCATGTTCTGATTCAGAGCTCTGCATAACAAACATTCCTTTAAATCCAGAAGAGAATGAAAGAGGAAAATTATGCAAAATCATGAAGAATGGACAGTCTCTTCACAAATCTGAAAGCTTTTTTTGCTATTTTTAAAAAGGAGAAGCCCTCACACTTGTCCCTCAGTCACTGAAATAAATCTGCTTAATATTTCTAGAGCAAACCACTTCTATTGGCAGTATACATCTCATTTACTATTTGCACTGTCAGAAGTTAACTAAAATACTTTGAAAGAAATAAAAATGTTTAAAATTGTAAGTAATTGGGAGTACTTGCATTACTTTAAAAAAGTACAATACTGTAAGAGTTAATTTAAAAAAAAAAAAAACTGCCAACACAGGAATTGCCATACTGGAGCAGAATAGTGGCCCACCTAGTTTAGATCTTGTTAACAGGGGCCAGTGCCAGATGTTTCAAAAGAAAAAACTCTGCAGCAGTAGGCAGTTATATGAGAACCAAACCCCAGAAAAGTTTCCTTCTAACACCCAATCATTGTAAGTTGGTTGATGCCCAGAAGCATGGAGGTTTGCATCCCTTCTTAAGTTCTTGTTTAATAATTTTAAAAAAATATTTACTATAACAACTCAATTTCACAGTTCTGTGTTTCTCCTGCAAGGCTATACACACCCAAAGCAGTACAGAAAATTCAGTTTTTTAGGCTTTTTGATGAGCCTCTAGCATCTTCAACTATTTTAGTTAACACCCCCTACAAACACAGGTCCTAAAAGGTATGTAAATGGAGTCATAATTGGAGAGATTTCCAAATTCCCACAATTGGGTCACCTCTAAATCATTTTGAAGGATCCCTTTTCCTGTGATTACTCCTTCTGCCACTCCACATAGAAGCCCATCCAAAGCCATACCACCTCAGAGCGCTTTTCCTAAGTCTCTTGTAGCTCCTCCCCTACACTCAAATGCCTCTTCCCTTTTCCTTACCTCTCTCTGCCTTTCACCCTCTACTACAGGTGCCTGGGTTTAGCAAAAGAGCCTATTACTACCTGCTATTCATCACAGGCAGATAGATGGCCACCTTGCTGCTAGTAGGCCATCCATCCAGTTTTAAACCATACAGTCCTGCTTTTGTAATGCACGTCCCACGTCTGGCATGGAGACAAAACCGGATGTGGCTTTGACAGTCAGGGACACCATTTTGAAGAGAGTGCTGGTCTGCCCCCCCACCAGCATGACCTTACATGTACCCTGGCAGTGTGACGTTCCTGGAAGCACCGGAACGTCCAGTATTTTGAGGATGCATAATTGGCCACCCTATTTCTGACATATGTTGCTTCCCCAGTTGACTGCTTCTGAGACTATTGTAGTAATTGGGGAACGAAGCAGTGGACAGGCAAAGACATCATCCCCCCTCCACTCAACAGTTCCTAGCAGTAGCAGAAACCACCTGCAGTGAACACGGACAATTGACAGCCTTCACTGCTCCCTGCTCTCTTCTCTGGCATTCCTACTGGTTCTACCCCACACCCCAGATCAAAGGAAAGGCAGCCCTTGCCACACAATGTTCCTTTTGCGGTAGCTTCTACAGGCCCCCCTGGACTCAAGTTTCCAAGTCCTGGCTGGTGTAGGATTTACACCTCTGAAAGAAAAGGAGGAAATTATTTTCAAGGGGTTTTTTAAGTGTGTTATTTGTATTCGAGACTAAATATTGTGTTCAGGAGCATAAACAGGCTTTTGGCTTTACTTACTTTTAAAAGTATTTCTGCTCACCTTTAAAGTCACTTAATATCTCATGTTAAGTCTTGCAGCTGATGCCAAGGATTCTATTACTAAGGCAACAATGAATTGTATGAATGGTGAGCCTTGACAAGTCCCACTGTATTCCTGATATCCTTTGTTCAATCAACTTTTCAGCCTTTTTTTGGTTGTGTGTTTGTATAGTGCCTAGCACGATAGTGCCCTATTCCATGCATGGGGCTCCTATGTGCTAACACAAAACAAAATAATTAAAGCCAAGAAATAGGCTGTAAAGGTTACTGATCCACTTACAGCATCAATTCATTATTCAAATCATTATTCAAAACCAGATGGAATTAGATGTCCAATTACTAGTGGTTTTCTGCCCTGCAGAACACCTTGATTGTAACAGTAACATTTTCACTATTTAAGAATACAATCAGCTCTAACAATTAAAGATCTTAGTTAGAACGGTATTCCTTGCACCTACTCACACTTCCCTTACAACTGCTGAATATTCCCCCCCCCCCCCCGCACTGTTCATCATATCACATGCAGAGTAGCCACAATATTATTTTTGTTCTGGTTTCCACTTACCCTAGCAACATTTTTTGTCTTTAGCTCTTTTGTGCTCATTAGTCCTCCTACAAATAATGGGCAAGTGCCAAGAGCCCTGTAGCATCTAAACTTAAAAAAAAAAAAAAAATCACAGACTCTTGCTCTGAAGCATGGACCATACAATCATGCAAGATAGTGGCTAGGATCCAGGGCCCATTAAAAAGCAATGAGAGTGTTGCCATTGACTGCAACAGGGCCAAGCTATCACAAGATGCACATGTGTGAGGTGGGGAGAGGGGGAAGAACAGCTAACTAGCTTTATAATTAGCAACACATATCCATCATTTACTTTCCTTCCCTCCTTTTTCTTTTTCTCCCACTACAACCCTCCCATCAAAATAAATAATCACATCAGTAATTTGTTGTTTTAAATTATGCTTAGTGATGTGTACCAGAGTCAGAATGTCTAAGGAAAGTCATTTTAACAAATGCACAGTTAACATTAAAATAAAGAAAGTGGGTTACTATACCTGGGCTCCCGAGTCTTGAAATTCTTTGCCAGCTTCTGGGAATACATCATATGCAACAACAGGATATCCGTGTTTTACCAGGTTTTTTGCCATTGGATTTCCCATGTTACCCAGCCCAATGAATCCAACTGGGGTTTTGGAGGCCATTGCCCTAGAACACACTGATTTCAATACAATAAATTAATATTTTGGAGAAATATACCTTAAAACATAAGAATAAAATCTACTGAGCAATTTAACTGGCTTCTTTGAAACATGGGGGGGTCCAGGGGGGCAGGGAAGTAACTTCAAACCCAGTTATATTTAAGTTTCAAGTGGACAGATTTAAATCCTATTCATATAAAATGTAAACAGTGTCCCATTACTTTTTACCAATATAATCTCAGTCCGAGATAAAGCAATTTCACATTTTAAAAGCATTTCTCCATTTTAAATATTGGATTTCTTAAATTGAATATTAATGAATGATACCTAACCAATAACCCTGAAGACAGAAATCCCATTTAGCCACAGAACAGATAAGGTTGGTGAGGTAATATCTTTTACTGGATGAACTTCTGTTGGTGAGTGAGACAAGCTTTCATGCTACACAGATCTCTTCCTCAGGTCTGGGAAAGGTACTGAGTGTCACAGCTAAATACACCTCTACCCTGATATAATGCGGTCCGATATAACGCAAATTCGGATATAACATGGTAAAGCAGCGTGCCGGGAAGGAGGAGTGCTTTACCTCGTTATATCCAAATTTGCGTTACCGCAAGTGGTACCTCTGCGCCTGCCCCCCCACAACTTGCTGCGGCCCCCCCTCCCCAGCTCACCTCTGCTCCGCCTCCTCCCCGAGCGCACCACCACCACTCTGCTTCTCCCTCCCTCCCAGGCTTCCCGCGCCAAACAGCTGATTGGCACGGCAAGACTGTGAGGGAGGGAGGGAGAGGCGGAGCAGTGGCGGGGCGATCAGGGGAGAAGGCAGAGGCAGAGCAGAGGGGAGCTGGGGCGGGGAGCGGTTCCTCTCCCTACCCCGGTATTATGTGGTCTCACCTATAACACGGTAATATTTTTTGGCTTCCGAGGACCGCGTTATATTGGGGTAGAGGCGTATAAGGTCATAGAATGTATGACAACTACTTAAGCTAAGGAACTGTTCAAGGTGACATGGCCTGTTAACACCCCTGTAGTCATGGGAAAAAATGGGGAGTTAGTGGATTACAGATTGCTGTAATAAAAATCATAAATCCAATGTCTTTATTAAGACAATGGTACATAGCATCTAACAAAGTTATGATTTTAAACTCCCATGCTTGTCTTTTGAAAGCGTTGTGCAGATTTCCTTTGAAGATGAAGACTGATAGATCAGATAAAGAGGGATTACTTTTCAAAAAGTGTTCACCCACAGGTGATGTGGCATTTTGTCTTGTCATTTTCCTGCGTTAATTCATTTACGAGCATATTGATTGTCTGGTTTCTCCCACATAGTTGTTATTGGGGCATTTAGTGCACTCCATGAGTTACACCACACATCGTGATAGTAATATGCAAGATTTTGAAAGGTGTTTTGTTGGGGATGTTGATCAAGGCAGCAGTGTAGACATGTCTGCCGGTTTTGCAACTGTTGTTGTGGCAGGGCCTGGTGCTACTCAGAGTTGGCATTTCCTGGTCTGTGGGGAGCTTGCTTCTGATGATTAGGTTGGAGAGGATGGGGGGTTGTTTGAAGACCAGAAGAGACGGTTAAGGAAAGATTTATTTCGTGGAGTACCTGTCCCAGGCCTGAGGAAGAGCTCTGTGTAGCTCAAAAGCTTGTCTCTCTCACCAATAGAAGTTGGTCCAATAAAAGATATTGCCTCACCCACCTTGTCTTTCTAATATCCCGGGACTGACATGGCTACAACACCACTGCATACAACAAAGGGGAAAGGTGTCAGGTGGCTGAAATAAAGGCTGCCTCTCGGAGACACAGAGGGCTCTCACAGAGGGACTAAGGACAAAGGGGGAGAGCTGGAGCCAGAAATGGATTCCAGCTTGGCTGGCTGACTGCACTGGCTTGGCCAGGATGTTGCATACATCATATGCAACAACAGGATATCCGTGTTTTACCTTTGCCTCTCTTTGCTAACCTAAGGACTTTCAGATTCTGTAGGCCAGGTGACTAATATATTACCTTGTTTTGAAAAGGCTACCTACTGTAGCTGCAAATACTCACTGAGAGCATTGCGCCATGAACGGGTACAGTACAAGCCTCCTGCGGGTGTGTAGCTTGGCTGAATTCACAGCAGGAAGGTCCAGTCTTGGAGGCCACGGGCCTGCCCCTTCAGAACTGTGTGAACCACTAGGGCTCGGCACACTAAAGAGGTCACGCCCATGAGACTGGTTATAAGCTAGGGCATAGACCTGACTTTGTGGATCTGTGAAAACCACCAATTCATTTCACATAGGTTGCCAAACCACTATCAGATGGTGACTGGTCACTACCGTCTGTGGCCAAATGTAAACCACTGAAAGAGAAAGTCTCCATGACACATTGTCAGTCCCTTGAACAATGGCATAAAGATTACTTATAAAATGCTACAGTCTTCACTGCAGGAGCAACTTTCAAAGAAGTACAAAAAAATAAGACAAAAATATAACATGATGTACAATGTACTAATACAGTGTGCTATGGCGGTTTATGGATACATGGAAAATAATGTAGTTTTCAGCCATTTTTAGCACAAGCTACTGTGTATGGGTATATAATGTCAGGCAATGCATAATTCCCATAAATACCAATGTATAATAATTCTTTTCTAATCATTCTAAACTAAAATAATCCTAGCTCAATGCTAGGGCAGATGCCAGTTTTTAGGTCTTACTGCCAGTTACAAAAAAGACAATTTTTCCTTGAAAGGAAGAGAAAAATCACTTGTTTTAATGTTTAATCTGATGAATGAGAAGACCAAACAGACTATGAGGATAATAAATTAAACTATCCAAATTCAAAAGAAAAATTGCATATCCTATGCTTAGCCTTTCAGATGTCACATTGCTTAAAGAAGAATCTTTCTTAGTTCAGAAAACACTTCATTCATTATTTTAAAGGTTTTTTCTGACTTTAAAGTGCCTTCTTAGCTAAAAACAGTCAGGCTCTCATTTATACCACTATTTTGTTAGTGTCATATTTAATAAGTCAGGTGTATCAAGAGGACTCCTGTTAAGCCCTGGTTTCCACAAATGCCAACAACAATGATCTGGCTGGATAAATATTGCCAGTTTTTGTTTTTGTTTTTTAAAAAGACTACACTGTAATTTATAAACATGTTCTAATATCTATATGTCCAAGTATGCAAAGAGCAAATCACTATAAAACATGCCAAACATAAAAAACAACTGAACATACACCCCTGACCATACTCTTCTTGAAATCTAGTCCTCTCTTGGACTCTGTGATTCTGACCTCTCCTGGTTCTCCTCCTGTCTTTCTAATTGCTCCTCTCATACACCCCCTCCCGCAACTTCCTGTGGGGATTTCACAGGGCACTATCCTTAGTCACCATCCCTTTTCCATCTATACATTATCTCTGGGTAATCTCGTCCACAAACACAAATTCAAGTACAGTCTCTATGCTGATGACTAAGGCTAAGATTTTGTCATGGATGTTTTTAGTAAAAGACACAGACAGGTCACAGGCAAAAAAGAAAATTCACAGAAGCCGTGATCTGTCCATGACTTTTATTAAAAATATCTGTGACAAAGTGGAGATCTATGGGTCCCCACACCGACCTGAAGCAGGGCAGTGCACAGGGGCTAGGAGCTGCCTTCAGCAGCTGGGGACTGTGCAGTACCCCTGCTGCCAGCAGCTCTGGGGGCCCACAACGGCCAGGAGCTTGGGGGTTCTCCCAGCCACAGCCAGGAGCTGCAGGGGGTTTCCTACTGCTTGCGGAGGCCAGGAGCTCGGGGGTTTCCCCACTGCCCATGGCATCTGGGAGCTCGGGGGTTCCCCTTCTGTTTGCAGCAGCTGAGAGCTGTGAGGTACCCCACCACCCACAGCGGCCAGGAGCTGCAGGGGCCACTAGAGGCAGTCGGGGTACCCCACAGCTCCCTGCCCACATGGGCAGTGGGGGGATCCTGCAGCTCCCAACCACCACAGGCTGAACGCATGGAGGTCGCTGGAAGTCACGGATTCCGTGATTTCTATGACCTCCGTGACTAAATTGTAGCCTTACTGATTACTCACAGATCTTTCTCGCCAAACTACAATCTCAGCCTGACATCTCCTCATGGAGGTCTTGCCATCAGCTCAAGCTCAATACAGCTAAAACAAACCTTGTCCTCCTGCACCCACTAGATTATTTCTCAATCACTGTAGGCAACACCAACCTGCCTGTCACTCAGGCCTGTAACCTGGAAGTTATCTTTGACTCTGACATCTTTCTGGGTCCTTTATCCAGGCTTTATCTAAACCTTGCAGATTCTTTCTGCATAACAGATCTAAGATATGGCCTATCCCATCAATCCACACAGGTAGTGCTCTCATCCAGGCATCATCTCAGTTACAACAGCACCCTTCTCTCTGGCCTTGACAAATGCAGTCTTGCCCTACTCATATCCATTCAGAATGCTGCTGCAAAGATCATTTTCCTAGCGCATCATTTTGAACATGTTACTCCTCTCTTTGCATCCTTCCACTGGCACCCCTTTCTCCACTGCATCAAACGTTAAGGTATTTATCTTCACTTTCAAGGCCCTTCACAACCCATCCCCACTATAGCTACCATCTCATTCACTATCGAGAAGTCTACTTCTGCCTCCAATCGCCCATTTGTTAATTTTTCAAACAACCACCTTTGAGTGCTTTCTCCTATGCTGCTCCATGCACTAGGGAGGAGCTCTTCATAAACATTTGTAAAATTACTTCATTAAAACTCTCCTTTGCTGTGATGCCTAAAAAACAACCCCAAAGAAAAAAACCAACCTAAAACTTGACAATGGTTAATCTGCTGGTGTGCTGAGACCTCTGCCTATCATATTGACTGATACTGTCTCATTATTTACTAATACTCTACTATTTGTCTACATCCATTTATTGTCTCTTGTCCTATATTTAGATTGTAAGCTCTTAGGGGCAGGGACCATTTTTGTTCTGTGTCTGTACAGCCCCTAGCACAATGGGGTCCTGGTTCCTGACTA